TAGGAGTGTGCACGCTCCAGTGCTTGCTGCATGTCAGTATGGACGTGATGTCCAAGACCCACGTCGAGAGCATGCATTGGCTGCACCTGTTGCACTGCCGCTGCAATATGGCGGCCTGCGTCTGTTCATGCAAAGCAATACCGTAGTGCTACTTATAGTTCGTGCTACAATAATTCGTGAGGCACCACGAATATGTAGCACGTACAAATTCAAAGGTATCCCAAGGGACCACAGCCCCGAAATATCGTACCCTTCGAAGCCGGTCGATCAAACTTCGCAAAAACTAGGATTTCAAGGCGGAAATCAGCTCTTAAATACATAAAATATAGTCATAAACGTAGGACATGAACAACGCTGGAAAACGTGCAAGACAGGCAACCCTGCTTCAATGCGGGATGAAACCGCTAGCACCAAACGCTCCGGTGAGCGACCGAGCTGGATTTGCACCAGTTAGGCTTGATGATGCTGTTGTCGAGGCCCAGCGTGAGCCAATGGAGCACGAGGAGGTTGCTAGGCGCGAGCGCAATGCGGTCAATGCTACGGCAGCCGGCGAGGCGAGCCTAAGGGTTCCCGGTGGAGGGAGACTGACTGGAAGCTGCAGTTTGAAAAGCCCCGAAACTTTGGAAGGGGCCCCGAAATTTGTATCATGCCCGCAAAATCTGGTCCAGACTTCCCCGAAATTCAAAGAGCACGTACAAATTTCAGAATGTTTTTTGACCCTGCCCCGAACAAAGCGATCACGAACTATAAGTAGCACTACGGTACATGGGAATGGTACACGCCAGATTTCATCTTGGACCTGGTGCACGTGCTTTTTGCACCAGGCTGCATCGACCTGGATCCGTGTTCTTGTGCCGCTGCAAACATGCGGGTCCGGCCACTTCCATATACGATGAGGCGATGGATGGACTGGCAGAGGGCAATTCAGGGCGATGAAATGTGATTCTCAACCTGCTTTTGGTGTACGGAAAGGACACAGCCTCCAAGGGCTATTTTTTGCGAGATGTTTGTGGGAGTATCAGGCGGGGAATGTGAGGCAGCCCGTGGCGCTATTGAAGGCAGGTATAGGCTGCAGCTGGTTCAATAATGTGCTGAACTGGCCAGTGTGCTTTCTCCGGGCGCGCCTTTCGTTTGTCCGGCAGGCCCTACCAACTCATAGGGGGTATAACAGCGGCTAACAGGCGTGCCTGTTAGGAAATATTAGCCTAACAGATTCTGCACCTGCAGGTGGGCACTAGTGATGAGCTTCAATGGGGAGCTGTAGCAGTCGCTCACCTGATGGGTCGACTGACTTAGCGGAAGCGTAGAGTTTACAGTCCTCGCCGAGGCAGGAAGAAGTCCAACCCAGCGGCAAGCACTAGCGTACATAGACGCGTACGAACAATCAGAGACGGCGGCAGCGGAGTCTTGAACTCTGAACACCTAGTAATGTGATACGTCAGTGTCTGGCCCGAGCACCCCGCCCGGGTAGCTTATATCTCGGCCTACCTGCCGGAGATTCCCTACCACGGTCTTGCCGTACTAGGATAATGTTGGTGGGGCCCGGGGCCCCAGCCCGTTAGGTTCGCTTACAAACAACCGCTATGTTTGATACATGTGATGAAGCTCGTAACATGTACGAAACTTGAGTCGAATCGTTAACGAATTAACAGTTATTGTTAAAAGTAATCGTTAAATTATTCTAAGGGAAATGTAGCTTGCTACAGTCTCCCCCCTCTGAAGCGAACCATCCCGGGAGCGTCACTTCTTCTTAGAAGTTTTCCGTCCCTTAGGTTTTTCCAGGGCTTGAGGGTGCTTCTTAGACGCAAGTTTGCGTTCATATTCGTCGATGGATTCAGCCAGGGGGGTAGACTGGCGAAGGGATTCCTCTGGTTCATAGGTGTTATGACTAGAGTCGTAACCTTCCCATTTAATCAAATACTCTCGACGTGTCTTTCCACGTCCACCTCGGGCTGAAACATCGTGATGGTCGACGATAGCTTCGACCATGAAATACGGCTCACCCTCAATGACGAGTGGCGCCGGTGGCTGTCGCTTTACGTCTTCTCTGTACAATTTCAACAAAGAGAAGTGAAAGACCGGGTGTAGGCGGGAGGCCGCTGGTAAGTCCAGTTTTACCGCGGCTTCGCCCACGCGAGCGACAACCGTGTATGGGCCATGAACTTGGGCATCAGCTTCCTGGTTCCAGGGTTTTTTCATGTAATATTTTTGGTACTTAACAGCACTTTCTGCCCAACCTCGTAACGCACGGGACGCCTATGCATGTCGGCGGCGTCCTTCTGGACTTGTTGCGCAGCCAAGAGACACTTTTTAGCTTTGCTTATACACTCGCGAAGCATCGCTTCTTGCTTCTGAGCGGCAGGCACCTTGGTTTTTAGGTGAAGGTCAACCGGAACACGTGGTTGCTGAACACCATTCAGTGAGAAGGGAGTTGTCCCCGTTGCCTTCTGTTTTGAGTTGTTTATGGCAAACTCAATCATGCTTTTAAATGTTTCCCTTGGCTCCCGCTCATTCCTATCATAATTGCATGTCGGTGGCCAGGTGGTCTTGGGGGGGATGTGCGGGGTCGTGGGGCTGCCGCCCCACTTCCCCACACTTTCTCCCCTCTCCTGCCCCTTGTTCTTGGAAAGTTTTAGGCGAAAGTTTTATCGGCTGGCATTAGCAAGCATGTGGGCCTTTTCCAATGAGTGAAACGGTTTGTTTTCTTGCATTGGCCGTACAGTGCAAATTACCCACACATTGCTAGTTGTTGCAACAGTAAAGTATAAGCAGTTGACGAAGTGAAAGGAGAATGTCAGTATGGAGAATTATGCATCTAAATTGTGATTACAGTCGAGTTGAGCCGTTAGTCCCACTATCACTTTTGTTAGTGTTATTCTGATGGCACATGCATGGCGAAGTGGAGGATCCTGATGGTTTGTTCGTTGGGGGTGTTTGGTGGTTGTGTGGTTTAAACGTGTACAGTGGATGTAGGTTTGATGATGGGCCCCTTGGCATTTACATGAATTTGCAAAGTTTAAAGTAGATGTGTGCATAAGTTGGATAACCCGATTATTAGATTTTAGAAATGAAGAAATGTATTAATGC